GGGCCCACTGCCGGCTCTGCTCTTTCAGATTGCAGGACCACCTGCTTGTTTGGCGAGCAGCGCTTCCTTGGCCAGGCCTCAGCTGTGCCTCTGTTCTGCCCCAGACAGAGAGATGCAGTTAGCCTGCTCTGCGCCCAGGCTGGGCAACTCCCCGAGAAGAGGCAGGATGGGCCAGAGCTGAAGGAGCCCCTTGATGTGGGGAGCACGTGGGCCCCTTCCTCTTCTTCCCTGTGCCTAATCCCCACCCCAGCCCCAAGCTCATTGCCGAGAGGTGGCCTCTTTGTCTCTGGTCAGTTGGAACTTGGCCCCCATCCTGGGCCTGACTCTGCCCTCCCCGCAGGGTGAGATGAAAAGCACTGTGCAGCACTGAGAAGTCGCATGTGTTTTGGAATCCTGGCTGCTTCTGAAAGGTAGTCCCAGGGCCTTCAGGAACAAGTCGGTGAACATTGCAAGTGGCCAGGGGCTGGCGCCTGGGGGTGGTTTTGTTTCTGAGCCCTTCCAAGGCTGCATGAGGCCCTGCGGCTGGCCAAAGCCCGAACAGTCTCACCAAGGAGACCTGACTGAAGATGAGCAGTGCCCACCCCTGGGACTTGAGGAAGGGCCTGGTGACACTGCTCTGATTCTAGTTTCATATGCAGGGGAGCCAACTGGCAGCATTTGCTGATGGCTCTAGCTTGGGGTACCTACAGGAGGTTGGCTGCAGGGGAGCTGGGATTTTTACACCTTACATGATGGAAAGGTGCTAGCCCCCACGGGGTGGAGGCTGTACAGGAAGATTTCTTTTTTTTGTCTCTAACACCCAATGGATCACTTCCTTAGCCAGGCAGCAGATAGGGGTGGTAAGGAGTGTGATGTGTGCAGGAAGAAGGACCATGCACTTCAAAGAGTTGGGGGGCAGAGATTCAGTGTACATTTTTTGGAGTGGAAAAATCCTGCTGCTTCAAAATGGAGTGGGAAAGGGCTGGGTCAGGAAGCCCCGAAGAGAGGAACATACCTACCCAAACTCAGCATTGGCACTAGACAGAACCTGGTTCAAACTCCAGCTCTGCCACCCATCAGCCACAGCCAACGTTCACTGATTTTTCTGTTAAGGACTTCCCATGTATAATCTGATTCAAACCTCACAAAACCATATGAAGTAGGTGCCAGTTTTATTCCTGCTGGACTCAGTTTTACTGAGGTTCTGAGTGATGAAGTCACTTGCCTGAGGCCGCACAGCCAGTGAAGGTAAAGCTGAGTCTCCCCTGAGGGCAGCGGGAACTCTGAGGCCTCCATTCTTACCAGCACTTTGCAGTTAAAACAATAATTTACAGTCTGACTTCCTGGTTGTCTGACCTTGGGGAAGTCACCGAACTTCTGTCCTCTGTGTTCCACATCTGGGAAATGGGGAGATGAACATTGCTCTTTTAGGTTGCTTGTGAGGATTATGTGAAAGAATATTTCTAAATTGTTTAGTCAGTGCCTGGCCTATAATAATATCATCATTCATTCATTCAGCAACTCTTCATTGAGAACCTGTTAAATGGCAGGTTCCATTCTAGATGTCCAGAAAAGTGTCACCAAAGGGAACAGACGAGTAAGCTAGATAAGTTTCAGCTGTGATGTGTGTTACAAAGAAAACAAAGTGGAGTGGTGATGCTGGCCACAGACACAGGAAGGCCTATTTTGGCCAGTGGCCAGGAAGGCCTCTTTGAAGAAGTAGCCATTGAGCTTCATTCCCAAAGGAAGGAGATGTGGGAGACACAGCAAGGTTCAGGGAACAGCAAGTGCAGGCCCGGAGCTGGGAACAGAAAAGAGGCCAGGGTGGTTGGAACAGCATGAGCAAACTGATGAGTGGTGGCGGTGACTGGGCAGCCAGCGAGACAGGACTGTGGACACTGGAGGAAGGTGTCTACCCAGGGGACAGCCTCTGGAATCAAGAGCAATGAGATCTAATTTCTTGGTTTAAAAGGTGGCTTTGACTGCTGTGTTAAGAATTGAATGATGGACGACGAGAATGGGTACAAGGAGGCCAGAGCGGAAGCTGGGGTTTGCAGAATGAGATGATGGAGGCCAGGCCTAGACAAGAGCCCCAAGTGGAAAGTGGCGGGTGATGCTTCCCTTGGGCAGAGCAGGGCCGCAGCTGTAAAAATCCTCGTGAAGACATAACTTCATTTCGTAACCTAACAGTAGTTCTCACAAAAGTAACATGCCTCAGACCACTCAGCTTGTCAAAAGTAGAGTTTAGGCTCTTTTCCTAATGCTGTAGAAATATTGTTGCCATCATCTCGCCATGGAGAAGTATCCACTGATACTATTATTTTTCTTTTTTACAATGGGAACTTATGCTTTTGTGGGGGAGGTTATTAAATATAACTGCATAGCCAGAGTTTATGATGTCAAACTGGATTTCCGTAGAGAACAGGGTTAGATAAACATTTTCTGTAGAAGGGCAGATAGTAAATATTTCCATTTTTTTGGGTCTTACTCTCTCTTGTCACAGCTACTCACCTCTGCTGCTGCAGTTCAAAAGAAACCATAGACAATGCATTAAAAAATGACTGTGGCTTTGTTCCAAAATTTATTTACAAAAATAGGCAGTGAGCCAGATTTGTCCCATGGATCAGAGTTTCCCAGCTCTGAAAATATTGTTTAGTTACATGACCCAGATGGTTTTTTTCCCTATAAAACCAATTCAAGATATCTTCCCCAAACTCTTTTGTAAAACTAGGATGCATCTTCTGTACCTGTGCTTATCTCAATACTAGAAAACATGACTTAATTTAATGATGACTGAATCCAGCAGTTTTCAGGTCTTAGGGATTCCTTGGAGGTAAGTCAGCAGACTAAGGTGATAAGGGTGGAGGGCTTTGGGTCTCTGCCTCTGCTTCAACCATGAGCCCTCTTGGATCCATGCATTTTTTAATTGCTGGTCTTCCTAAGAGTTTGTTTGAAAAAAAGGTGTCGGGAGCTAGAAAAAAATTAAAAACCACTCCTCCAGTCCAGCTTGTTGGAGATCATGTCCCCCTTCAGTGTCAGGTATCATAGAGGCATTTATTACATTATTGCTCATAGAACAAATTAACACATATATTTTCTAACTGGATGGAGTGAGGTGAGGAAAGATTTGCTTGGGGGTTATATTTTTGGGGTAGAGAAAATGCAGGGAACACAGACCAAAGAGTCTAAGCAGATGTGGACTCCAGACAGAGGCCACAAGGTCCCATGTACAGCTGTGGGGAGGGTCTATTTTCTGAGCCTTTTAAAGTGGAGGCAGCAGGCTATGATACGGCAGTCTTGGAGAGTGGCTCGGATCTCACATCCAGACACAGTTAGGTTTAAATCTCTGTTCTTTCATTTGGTAGCTAGATACATTATTTATTTAACTCTTTGGTTATCCATTTTACCAGCTGGAAAACTGGAATGATACGACTTCCTTTCTCAGGCTGTTAGGTAGATTAAATGAATAGCCTATGCAAACTGTCTTGCCCATTGCCAAGAGCTTGAGAAAGAGTAATTTCCTTCTCCATTCTGTTCGCAAGGTCATGGGATAAGCTCAGAGGATCTTTGAGACCTTCTGTCTTCTCCTTACTGTTGACTCCAATTTCCGTGCCCCAATCTTCTCTTCTCAGGATGTGGCCAGGTTCTGCGAGCCCCAAAGGGTCAGATTTTGTTGGAGAGCTACCCCCTAAATGCTCACTGTGAGTGGACCATTCACGCCACACCTGGGTTTATCATCCAGCTAAGGTAAGGGGCTGGGGTCAGAATTAGGGAGTCTCAGGTTCTAAGGAAACATAGTAACAGGCCTGAGGGCCCTGGATCATAGTGACCAAGGGCTAATCATCAGCACTTTATTTCTAAAAGCAGAAAATGTATATTGGGTCCTTTTTCTTTACCTCTCAGTGATTCCACTGGAGACTCTGGTCAAAACTGACGCCAATTAAATGCTTGTCATTCATCGCCCTAGAACAGTGGGGCTCAGATGGTTTTGACCCAGCGATAACACAAACAAAACAAAATACTGAGGGAGCCTATGCATCCACAAATCTTGAACAAGCCTTCCTCCTTACCCAATACTGGTCTGGGTTCTAGGGGAGGGAAGACAAGAATACGAGGCACAGTTCTAATCTTCCAGGAATTTCTACTCCATGTGGAGGTTAATGCTTGTCAGCAGTTTTCAGAATGTTCTCAGAAAACAACAGCCACCCCCACAACAAATAAACCAATTCTCTCACACGTGTGGAATATCAGCTGTTTTTTCTTATGGAGCTTTGGGGTCCTCACAGATGTTTACTTTATGTCGTAGCTCCCAGCCTCCTATGTATCCCCTGCCTCCTAGCAAACACCTCTCATTTTCCTCTCCGGGGGGAAGAGTGGCCCTCTCAGCCTTAGGGTTTCTAGGGACTTCGTCCACTTGGCTCATCCCTCTTCTAACCAGTGGAGAGGTTGGTGGTGATGGGAATCTCTGATCTAGGGCACAGGCTTTCAACAAGTATTTTCTAGGCGGGTCAGTGCACACGGAGGTTGCCGCCTGCCGGCTGGGTCCTTGAATGGCTCCCTGTTCTCCAGGAGGGGCAGTGATACACCCTGCCTTAGAAGGATCCAGTAGAACATGTCCCCTTCCCAATCATCCTCATCGAAGCTGGCCCTGGGGTGGGAGTGAGGCCCATTATTTGAACTTTCCTAGAGAAAGATTGGCTCAACGCGCGAGTGGGTGGCCACATTATTCTGCTAACTGGGCTCCGGGCTGGGTCTGCCAGGGATGATAAGGGCATGTTAGTATTTCAGCAAGTCAGGGACCAGGCCACATGGTCCCTTCAGGGGCCTCTGAAGAGTTTCTCTGGGATCCAGGATACAAAAGAAATTTCCCCAAAACAAAAATCCAAGACAGTGGAGGGATTGAGAAGCGTATTGCCTGCCTAGGAAAGGGCCCTAGGGAGCCTTGAAAATATATAGATTTCTTTCCCTCTAGTCAAACTGGAACTGCTGGCCATGATGATAATAATGGAAATGCTCTAAAACATATGTACAGTGTTCAGCCCCCAAGCTAGCAGTCATCCTGATGCCCCTTTCTATCATCAACCATGACCAGGCCACCACAAAATTTATCTTCTTACCAGTAAAATAATCTAAAGTGCATCCACACCTGTCTCTACTGCCACCATTCTGTGCCAGACTGCCACCATCTCTCACCTGGATTCCCTGGTGGCCTCCCACTCTTGCCAGCTCTGTTATTTCTTCTCCTCGGTCACTAGAGTGATCCTTTAAAATCCTAAATCAACTCATTATTCTGTTGTTGAAACTTTCCTGTGGCTTCCTGTCAGACTTGGAGTAAAACCTGAACCTCCATCATGCAGGATCTGGCTTCTGCTCCCTTCACTGTCCTCAGTTGACACCACCTCCCACTTTCCTCGCCACCTTGCAGCATCCCTGGCCTTCTTTCAGTTCCTCAAAGACCAGTCTCATTAGTTCCTCAGGGCCTTTACACTTGCAGATTCCCCTGCCATGGAAGGACTATAAAAGGCTTTCCCTCCCTAGTCCCTCTTTATGCTCTTACCTGGTTTCTCTTCTTCATAGTACTTCATACTCTCCAAAATCATCTTGTTTTCTGGTTTCTTTGCTTGTTGGTTGTACCCCAAATGAGAACTCATTTCCATTAGGGCAGGTACTATGTCTACCTGGGGTGCCACTCTGCTTTCAGCACCTAGAACAGCGTCTGACTTGGAGGAGACCTGCTACAAATAGGTGAACAAATGAATGGATGTTCAGTACAAGCTGCAATGTCTTATTATATGTCCGTTTAAGAAAAAGTTGTGGTCTCTTTTTTAGGTGGGGGGCTTGCCCTGCCTTCTCCCCTTTGCAAAGATACCACAGCCCAGAGAAGGAACTGATTTCTCAAGGCCCACAGTGAGTTAATGGTGGTGACTGGATGAGAAACAGATGTAAAGCATGTTTCACAAAGTATGATAAATAGGACTTACACTCCCTTACAAAAGGTTTTGTGATAAAAAAAATGTTGGTAAAATAAACATTGGTTATGCTCAGGTATTGGGTTTCTCTTTAAGTAAGACATTTTAGAGCATTTAAATTTTATTTATTGTCATTGTGTTCCTGTGTTCTCCAACAGTTGAGATTTCAGAATCTGAAGGTGGTAGAAACAACCCTAGTCCCAACTTTTCAGGTGGCAGTTCTGTGTTTTTCTGTCTATTCTGACTTCTCCTCCAACATGCGAGGGAGAAGATACAGGTGTCCATTTTGTAAACTTGGTACTCAGGCAATCCCTAGGGAATCTTTTGGAATGTCTCTTCCTCTCTTGGCCTGGGACATGGCTGCCTCTTTTCTTGTCTCTTGGAATTGGGAGCTCAGGGTGATCTTTTGCTTTTTTGATCTGATGTCTCCCAATATTTCCAAACCCAAGACTTCTCTAGGTAATCACAGATTTATCAGATCTCTCCCAATGTTGAAATTCTGCAATGGCACTACTTTTTGTACTCTTTGGGGAAATAATTTTTGTTACCCAGAAGATAGTTGCCTTCTGATCCTTCCTTCAAACAAAAGAGTGTGCAGAGATTTTTTTCCTTTACTTTTTATAAGACAACATGTACTTTTTCCATTTCCATTTGTAAAATTAAGATATAGTATCCATTCAGTTATCTATTCAACAAACTTTTATTTCCTATTTCTATATACCAGACATAGAGTTAGGCATTACACAAACAATGGTGTGATAAGTTATATGTTCTAATAATGTTCTACCCTACCCTCAAAAATTTGCAGATGGGTGGAGGAGATGGGCATGCATATCCATGCACACACACAGACACACAAAGTCAAGATAAATAGGAGAAATTAAAATTTGTATGCACCTTCTGAAGAAAACAGCGATCTCCTTTAGGAAGAACTGTCAGGGAAGACTCTTTGAGGATTGGAAGGAACCACCCACGCAGACTGGGAAGAAAAATGTCCCTGGAAAGAGGGGCCAGCATGTGCAGACTGTCTGACTGGCATACGGCACCCCCTCCACCCGGGCTTGTGTACACAGATACACACAATACGCATATACACACCCCTCCAGTAAAAGAAATTCATCTGACCCCAGGTTCTCCAGGACCATTTTCCTATGGGATCAGGCTAAGGGGACCACCAAGAGACCACTCTTCTGAAACCGGTCTGTCCTGTGGCACCGAACTTGCCCGGGGGTCTCAGGACTGTCCAGGGCCCACCTGTGTCCTGCTCTCGCTCTTCCCGCCCACAGGTTTGTCATGCTGAGCCTGGAGTTTGACTACATGTGCCAGTATGACTACGTTGAGGTCCGTGATGGGGACAGCAGTGGTGGCCAGATCATCAAGCGTTTCTGTGGCAATGAGCGGCCGGGTCCCATCCGGAGCACGGACTCCTCACTCCACATCCTCTTCCAGTCAGATGGCTCCAAGAATTTTGATGGCTTTCATGCCATTTTTGAGGAGATCACAGGTAAAGGCCATGGAGACAGATGTGGAATTTTATGGCTATGCTCTGGCAAACCTCCTTTCCTTGGACCTTCCCATCTCCCTGCTTAGCCTTATTAAAACCCAGCATACTGGGTTCTCAGCAACCTACACATTGAGAAGGAAAAATGAAGTGGCAAGATATATTTCAGAAACACTCACCAGAACCAGAACTAGGAATTATTATCTCCCTTCTGCATGTGTGGGAGCACAGAGAAGCTAGTAATTTGTCCAAGATCACACAGCTATGGAGGAGGAACCAGAGATTTGTACACAAGCAGTTTGGCTCTAGAGCTCACACTCAGGAGCCTCTGGTGGTTAAGAGCATTAGCTTTGATCTCTGGCTGATTAAGATGTGACTGAAGGCAAATTATTCTACTCCTGTGAGTTAAGGACTAAACATCCTGCTGCATTAAGGAGGTTCTGGGAGACAGAGTAGATGAAGAGCTTAGCACATCTGGTACATAGGAAGTACTTAACAGCTGCTCAACCCCAGGTGCTCTGAGCCTCCGTTTGTCATCTGCAAAGTAGGTTGTAAAAGTCTTAAACTATAGTGGTACATGCCACTTACTTTATGAATAGCTCTAAGCTTGACTTTAACTCTTGCCCTGTTCATATTAGGAAGTAGGATTTGACCAAAAGGAGCAAAATGCTCAATCCTAAGAAGTCACCCCAGCTCTCATCTGAGATTGGATTGGACATCCCTTTGCAGCTGGGCAGGCCTGGGAGTGCTCAATGCTTTACAGCCCTGCTGTGCTAAGCCTGTGGCTGAATCTGCACCCCTTGTTAGAACACTGAAAGCCAAGGCTGAGCAGGGTCTTGGGATACACCTGCAGGGATCTGTGGCAGTCAGCAAGAGCTGGGTGTCAGGGAAGCCTGTTGTGAGCAGTGGCTAGCCAGCTCGTGACCCTGTCACTGAGGGGAGGATCTCTTCCTCCTCTGAAATGGAGTCCTCCAACCCTCCTGGAGAACTCTGGGAAAGCTGGGCTGTGTTGTCAGATAGACAGCAGCCCCTCTTCCTGTTCCTCAGATACCACCATTCATCCTCTGCCGCAGAAGTTATCCCCTTGGGTTAACGCCACCTGCTTCCACTTGCACATCACATCCCATCCTTCGGGGGCTGCACTGAGATCTTCTATGCTAACACCTTTTCTCTTGTTACAATGGGCTGTGACTTTGCCCTGTTTTGAATGTACTGTAGCATTTTCTCCTCTTTTCTGATGAACTGAATTATACATCAGATTACAGTCATTGTATATTTTCCCCAAAAAGCTCTGATCTGGTAAGTAGGATCTCCTGTTCATCTTTCAATCTTTTTTTTCACTTATTAAAAGTTATTTTAAAATTCGCCATCCCCCACCCACTGCCCCAAGTTGGGAAAAGCCAAACAATCTGGCCTGGGTTTAATTACAAATTCATACACATTTTTTTGTCATTATTTAAAGTAAATCACATTGTGGCAATAAGGGATTATCCTTGGAAAAAGTGAAACCCGTATTAACAAAATAAGTCGTGGAAGAACCCCACTTAGTGATTTCACTGGCTACCTAGAAAAGGTCAGCATTCTGTGCTAGCTCTCAGGAACTCATCCATGCAGTGGAAAGATGCCTTGCCCTCACTCAGCGAAGCCCAGTCAGCTCCAACGAGGCCTGGTACCCAACGAAAGCAAGAAGAGAGGGTGAACCTTTTTCAGGACAAGGGTAGAAAAGGTAGATCAAGGAAATCCCACATCCTCCCTTATAAGCCCATGGGGAGAAGGAGGCAGCAAGTTGGGGGGAAGGCTTAAGGATGCAGCATCCTTTAACCTGAAAAAAAGAGTTAAAAAAATATCCTGCAAGATCCCTGAATGAGGAGGAGGAAAAAAGGAAAAGAACTTAGTATTTTGAGTAAGTTTAAACATGGTCTTAGCTTCATCCATCTCATCACAAATGCAGACAACACCCTTTCAGCATTGTGCCCAATTTTTGAAACCCTGAGTACTTTTTGCTTAGCAGCTTGAAAGTAATGGTTAAAAAAGTACACATGCATATATATAAAGCATATATGTACATATATGTATATGTACATGCTTGCATGCACATGTATAAATATATATTGCAATAAAATAGCTTTGGAAAGCATGGGGCACCAAGGGCTTTGGGGCCGACTTCTTCCCCTTCAGAGCTCCACAAGACAATACATACCCACAAACTTCTCTCCAGGTAGGAATACTCCCCTTAAGATCACCTGATACTAGGGAGACGGGGACAGGTCCACAAAACAGGCAAAGGTCTCTAGAAATTGTATCACCAGTAGCATTTTTCACATGTAAAAGAAATACTAGATTCATGAGTTATTTGAGAGCTCCCTGCCCTTCTTGGCTTCCTTCTCCACTACCCAGAGAAATTGCATGCCTGAAGGCTGCCTCTGGAGAAACCTTACACAGAGAAGCACTCAGTACAGGCTTTAGAGCTACCCAAGGGATACGTTTCCACAGTGGGGTAAAGACTGGTGGATAATAAGCAGATCTGTTGTCTCCCAAAATGTTCTCTGTAGAAAAGTGGTCCTCAAGATGATCTGTAAAATGTAGATCAGATAAGCTTGGGGAAGGCTGAGTGTTATGTGTATTCTTGGAAATTTGCTGTGTACATTAGAGCATGGAACATTCTGACAAGTTCCATAGTAAAGAAATATGGCTAATTATCATTAAATATCAGTAGTGTTTCCCTACCGTATTTCAGCCCAGAACCCTTTCTTATTTAAACACATCAACATCTCAAGGGAATAATATTTATAGAATGTGTGTTAGGAAATTCTTGAGTACTTTTGATAGTGTTGTGAAGGTCATCTTCCAGTCCTTACCCCCCATACCCAGGGTGCTGAGTTTTCTTGAAAAAAAGATGACTTAAAACTACCCAAGTTTGCTTCTGCCCTTGGAGTCCCTATGGGGGCAATGAGAGCCTGCTTCCGCTTCTGCCTTCATCAAGTGGTGCATGTGTTTGTGTGAGCCTTGGGCTCTCAGGCTGTGGGTGTCTGGGGCACACTTGTGGGGCCTTCAAAAACATCACATAATGTCAGCAACATCTGGCAGTTAGTGAGTATTGGTTTAGGCATTCACAAATAATGGCAACATGAATTCCATAAAAGGAGTGAAATAATTGCAAGAAGACTTTAACAGATAAGAGAAAGACTCTTTAACAGACAAGGCCAAGACTCCAGGCTTGGAGAAATCAACCCACTGCACGTTGACACTGAGGAAAACCACCTTTTTGTCTTGCAGCGTGTTCCTCGTCTCCTTGTCTCCACGATGGCACTTGCGTCCTTGACCAAACCGGGTCCTACAGGTGTGCCTGCCTGGCAGGCTACACTGGGCAGCGCTGTGACAATGGTGAGTGTGCCTCTGGAGGAGGAGCTAAGGAGGAGTGGGGTGCTGGCATGCAGAGAGCTTGGGGTCTTGCTGGGCATGCTGTTTCTGGCTTTTTATGACGGTCTGTCCAAGGTGGTGCATAATGAGGACATTTTCATTGCATGGTTCTCAGGAGGACTGCCTCTGTGTCAGGATGTTTTGAACCACCGAGGTTGCCCACTGACATTTCCAACCTTCCTGCTATATATACCTTTCAAAAAGGTGCACCTTGAATGATATTCAAAGACACTGAGAAAGGGTCAACAGCAAAAGCCACTAGCACAAAGTCTCTTGTGGCTCTGCATTTGAACACCCTGTGCATCCCGCAATGTGAATGTTGAAACCCCAGGCACTGTTCATAGACTCCAGGGTTTTGTTACATAGACTGAAGCCCCGCATTAAGGATGGTTAATATGTAGGGTGGCCATGAGCCCCAGTTCCCAGGGACAGTCCCAGCTTACTCAATTTATCTGGTCATAATTATCAACAGCACTCTCTTTTGTGCTCAAACATATCCCAAATTGAATGATAAATTACATGATCATCCTGTAAATATGGGACAAGATTAGGTGAGTCACAGACAAACCAACCAACCTTTAAGGAGGGGGTGCCGTGTACTGGGTTCTGTGGCAGTACAGAAAAGACATACCTCCACATTTCTCTAATTGTTCATGAGTAGGCCAGGAATGAGATGGGGTCGTAGGTGGTAGTGCAGAAGAATCATAGAGGAAAGAATGCCCCAGCCATCATTCTCTAAGACAGCTCTTGGGCTGCCACCACTCAATTCTGGCCACCTCCTCCCCTGAGCCACACCCTGTCCCAGTGAATCACAAGGTCCTCCAGTTCTTGCAGATGGAAGTCAAAAGCAGGACCATAGTAGCCCTCAGTAACCTGGGGTCAACAACACAGCAGAAATAAGAGGAAACCAACTCAAAGAGATGACTTACTCCCAAGCAGGCAGAAGTTTCTGATTTCTGTACTTGAAAGGCAGGATGTGACTCTTCTCTGTGATGAGATTCAGAGTGCTGTCAGAGGAGGGAATTAGGACCTGCTGAGTTCAGACATGTATCTGACAGGGGAAATCTTTGCCCTTGGAAAGAGTGCATGCTGACCACTGCGTGTAGTGGCACCAAGACTGTCTGGCCCAGCCATGTGGTGCCCAGCACTGTGCCACTGGCAAAGAGGAACTATACACCATCACCAGAAACCATTTATCAAGTCCCTCTAGTAACCAAGACCTTGCATAGACATGTATCCTAAAGAAAGTGTGAGACCTAAAGCAGATGCCACAGACTGTAACTATCAGCGTGGCCTTAGATGTGCAGAACAATAAGGATCAAAAATTGGGGGGGCAATCAAAGGAGGACAGATAATGGCCTAGGGAGGTTTTGCACAAGCAGATACTGAGATGGAAGGTATATAGGTGATGTATTAAGGATATGCTCCCAGAAGAAGCTGGGAAGGGAGTGGGGAAGCTGGGCTGGGAAGGGAAGGAAGCCAGATATTCAGACAAAATCCCAACCTCAGTGGTAACTGGCAGTGTAATCTGGAATGTAAATTACATCTCAGAGCATATCCTGGTTTAAGCAAGCCAGCCGGGCTTTCATATCCCCACTGCTCTCAGGCATTGGCTAAGGGCTGCCCTGGGCGAGCAGGAGAACGTGCCTGACTTCCTGTGCATGTGGGTCAGGTTGTTCCAGTAGCCTGTGAGCAGTCAAAGACATCACTGGCACAGACCTTTGGAGTACAACAATATGGAGGAGGGGGAGAGAGGGGCCCAAAAGAAGTAGTGAAAAGACCTTGAGGATGGAGCTCTACCCACATCTGCTGCAGTCACTTCTAGCTGGCATGTACAGGTACTTTGGGGTCACCCTAGAAGGGGCCTGGTCTGCTAGTACTCTAGGAAGTTCATATATTTTTCAGTTAATTTCACTGATTTTCCTTGCAATCAATACAAACGGAAGCTGTGACCACAGTAGTGTGTCCTTGAGTGTGCCATTGTATTCCATAAAAGCATCCCTTGCTTTGTCTATGCAGAGCTGACCTGGCTGTGATTATGCTGCACACTTAGTTCTGTGTCATGATCCCTGCCTTGTTTGAGCCTCTTGTGTTGTGTGCAAGCAGAGAAGAGAATTGTTGCTTTCTCTCTGTTTTAAGAATTTGTGTATAGAGTGGTCCTAGAGTCTTGACAATGGTAAATCCTAAACTTTACCCTTTAGATTAAGAGGAGGAAACTAAAAAAGGGAGGACTTGATATCTTGATGAACTGACTGCACAATATCAGGGTTTTGATAAACAGAGGTAATATTGGAAAGAAGGAAAATATTGCCAAATAAGCCAAAATGCCTTTAAGAAGCTGGGTCCAATCAGGGAGAGAAAAGAAATTGGTCCAAAGGATGTGACTAATATATTAAAGAGTAGCTTATGAGCAAAATATTGACTTCTCACCCTGTTATTCTATCCAGAATAAAATAGAGCAAAACAAATAAGCACAATGAAAAAGAATGTAAAATATGTCATTATGAACTGATTTATAACTTGAGTCACAGACTCTCTCAAATCACTTTTGGTCTCAAAACACCAACAGAGATAGACAAGAGAATTCTTTCTAGCCACTTTTCCCAATGTCATTCAAAAATCACTACTCCCTTAGTGCCCAATAGTAATAACCGGGTGAAGACATTGGTAGGGGATATCTGATATGTCCTTTGCTGGCATCAATGGGAGGGGCCAAATGTTTTATTATCTTCTATAAGATTTAGGTTTGTTTTTCCTTCTAGGAAATTCAGCATGAGTTCCAGCTAATTCAATGAGGAAAGCATCATAAAAATTGGCTGTGGCAGTTTATCTTGTAATTTCTGAACAAACCCTAACCATTTTCCAGAGAAGTCTGTCAGCTAGGGGAAAAAAAAAAGATTTACTTTATTGTTTTCCTCATGAGTATATGCATGAACTGGAAAAATTTTCCTGGAGGAAATTTCTTTAAAATTAACAAGAAACCCAAGCATTCTGGGTGTCTCCAGACATTGAAATGCCCAAACTGGATTAGGCACTTGTTCTACAAAATAGCTTTAAAAGCACCAAAGCAAATATTAATGAGAATTCCATCTTTTATTTATGTGGTACCAAATCTAATGATGGGAAACCATTTCATATATAGTTTATTGATCTACCCTCCTGAAGTCTTCATTCTCCTTTCAGTATACAAAGGATTTGAGGCAGAGTGTATTAAGACACTAGTATCCATCGAGTTCAAAACTAGAGGCTTTGAATTCCACATTGCCCACGTGGTCCACAATCTCTCAGATGTGGCTCTTGCCACATGGCTTGGTGAGACTCCAGATGACTGGTTGATAAGCTCTGGTTAAACCATCACACCTCATGAAGTCCTCTCAAAGGACTGTCCTTCCCAGGTCAGGCCCACCTGTCTCCCATTTCCAAAGAGAATCCTGATCAGCTGTCTCGTGGCATAAGCTATTCTTTTTATTTTCTTTCCATATATGTTTGTCTTTATATATATGTGCTTAAGTGTAAGAGGGATAGAAATAGATTCTCTATTTACTTACAGAAGAAATATATACTTGCAAAAATAATTAAAGAGTTCAGAGGTGTTTCAAATAAAAAGAGAACACTGTTTCCCTGGCCAGTCCTGGTTCCCAGTGGAATCACTGTTAACTTGGTGAGTGACCTTCCAAACTTTGTTCTATGATGTGCAAACCTACATTGTCTACATGTCATTATTTAAAAGCAGTGGTTCTCAACTGGGGGCAGTTTTGCCCCTGACCCCATGCACGGGAGACTTTTGGCAATGTCTGGAAACACAGCTGGTTCTCCTGATTGCAGGGGGAGGGTGCTACTGGCATCTAGGGGTAGAGGCCAGGGGTGCTGCTCAACATCCTGCAGGGCACAGGGCAGCCCCCACCATAAAGAGTTACCTGCCCCAAATATCAGTCATGCCATGACTGAGAAAATTCATTTTAAACACAAGTGGATTAAAGTACACATACAGTTTTTCAAGTTGCTGTTTTCACTGCCCATATCATGGCTATTCTTTCTAGGTGATCCATGTTAGTCTACCTCATTTGAAAAAATGATTGCTGACTAATCTGCTACTCTAAGATGAACTTTTTGTCATATTTCATTATTATGAAGAGAGCTGCAATGAATATCCTAACATCTGTTTCGTGGTTCACACACACACAGAACTATTTTTGTAGGATAAATTCCTAGATGTTGAATTGATCAAAGCATACAGATATTTAAATGTTTGAGAGCCATTGCCAAAATGGTCACTAAAAGGTTTTAGCAATTTGCAAGAAGCCATTATAAACACCAGCCCTCAAAATAAGAATTATAACCTGCATTTCAGGATCTCGGGTCTATTCTTGTCAAGCTGGAAATGGATTTATTTTCCAAGGCAAATGAATGGGTCTGAGGGGCAATTTCAGGTTGGGACTTCCTGGGGTGACCCTTGAAGACTAAGAAACTGTCAGTGCAGGTGTGGCTGATCATCAGGAGGGTTTGAGAGCCTCCAGCAGTGTCTTTAAGGGCTGCTGCCCCCTGGTCTCTCTTAAGTTGTTTCCCAAGGAGGAACAACTTCCCCCAGTTCCCAGGGGACCTCCTCTGAGAGCCCAGGAATGGGAGTGGCCCCCGCCTCAGCTCTGGGGCCAAGCTAGCTCCTGCCAGCACCCTCCGTGACCCCCAGCCTCCCTGGGCCACCATGTAAGAAACTGGGGCCCCCTTTTCCCTCTGAAGTTTCCTGTTTCTTTGTATGGCGCCCAAGGACAAAATAAGTTCATGAGTAAATGGTTGGAATCTTGTTTTGAAAAAGTGGAGAGTGAGGGATTCATTGCCCCGCTCCAATTTCCATGTTGCCTTTGTTCCTCTGGCCCAATTGACGATGCTGAGGTATACCCCCTGCATCCTAATGAAGGCTGATGAAACAGGCTAAATCTGGGGGCACAATGCTCACACTGCAGGCT